GGCTACCTTATTTCCCCTAGCTCCCCCCCAGGCCCCCCATTAACCCTTTCCTCTCCTGTCACAGATCTCAGACCAGACCAGCCTCCCGCGATCCGTCAGCTCCAGCCAGGGCAGCTCCATCTCTTAAAGGGCCAGGCCCTCTCTGCACATCCGTCCTCCAGGCTGGGTCACAATGCTGCTGTTTCCGTTGTCCTGGGGGGACCCCCCTCCCCCCATTCCCCTTCCCCAGCCCTTGTGGGGACCCTGGACTCTGCAAGACAATTCTGGGGAGTCATCCCCGGCTCTCCAAGCCCTCAGCTCCTGCCTCCCCCCCAGTTTGCAATGCTCAGGGCAGGCAGGGGCTAAAAGCTGCCAAACTCAGGCCTGTGAGTGCCTCCTGCTGGCGGCGGGGTCAGCCCAGCCTTCGCTGGGGCCTGGATCTGCTCCACCGCTGCCCTGCGGACGCCCCGGGGTCTCAGCGGGTCCCGCCAGCGCCTGCCCCACGACCGTGGGCTCCGGGGCTCTGCCCCCGCTCTCAGGGATCGGGGCCGCTCCGCTGCCCTTGGCCCCCGCTCTGGGCTGCACTGAAGGGGGCAAAAAAAGACAGTGGAGTAAAGAAGCCTCCGGGCACCGTCACAGCCCAGGAGCGTCTGTTTGCGTCTGTCCCGGGGTCTCCGTGCCTGCGTGGGGGGGGCCCTGCCCCTGGGGGGTCCCGGCACTGGGGGGTTGTTTGCCCTTGGAGGGGTCTCTTGCCCCTGGGGCAGCTGCCCCAGTCCCCCAAGCTTGGGCCCCCACCACTTCTGCTTCCCACAGCAGCAAATCACGGTACAGAAGGGGCATGTCCTTCCCCCCCAACCCCATCATATCCCTGAGCTGGGGGCGGGGTCAAGGAGGGGCGTGGCTCGTGGGTGGAGCCAAAGAAGGGGTGGCATCCCCCCTAGGCAAGGCACCCGTTGGGGCCCTAGTGCCTTGGGTTGGGGGTCGCTACAACTTTGACCCCCAACCCAAGCCCTATGACCCCTCCTTCCCAGGCGGGGGGTCACAGAGCCTGGGGGTCCCGGTGCCCGGCTGGGGGCATTCGGGGTCACCATCCCTGTGGGGGGTTGGGGTCACAGTGTCCCCAGCGAGGTGGCTCCCAGGCCTTGCTTTCCGGGGAAGGGGGCAGGCCCCTTCACCCCCACCCCTCCTCCCAGGAGCCCGAGGCCTGGCCTGGCAGCTAAGAATAGCCAAGGGGTAACCGGAGCCGCCAGGGCCGGGCGCCGCATACCGAGGCCTCAGCTGCAGCGTGACCCCCCCTCCCAGGATGCCATGGGGGGAGGGGGCTGGTTCCCTGCTCCTTGCCCCCCCTCCTCCCCGCCCCCCCGGGGCAGATCTGGCTGGCCCCAACCCTGCCAGGGTGCCCCATGGCCCTGCATGGGGGCACGGATGGGATCCCAGCTGCTCTGTGCCGGGGGGGGGAGAGCCCCTGCAGACTGGGGGCAGTTGAGGGTGGCCCCCGGTTTTCCTAAGCAGAGGGGAAACTGAGGCACGGAGCAAGGCGAGGCCTCGGGGCAGTGGAGGAGCAGGGGAAGGCCCCGGGCGCCCCGCTGGCTCTTGCCTCCCCTGCTCCCCTCTCCGTGCTGGACACAACCCCGGACCCCCCTCTCCTAGAGCAGGGGCGAACCCGGGCTCCCGGCCCCTGCTCGCCCCCCGCGGAGCCGGAGGCAGCCCAGGTGGCCGAGCGCATCCCCCCCCCCCCCCCCTTTTTCCCACCTATTTTTGCCGTTGACGCCATCCGTCGCTCCTTGGCCCTGTGACCCCCCCCAATGACCTCATAGGCATTTTCTATCGCTGACGTGGCCCCTCCCCACATTCTGCACAAGTGCAGTGGCCCTTTAAGAGCCAGCAAGGGTGGGGGGGCCCTGGGCTTGGGGGGGGGACCCCCGCGCCACCTGTCCCTGGCTGGAGCCGGGCGCCGGCCCCCTCCCCCCGCCCCCGGGCCCTATATAAGGTGGGCGCCCCCCTAGTGCCATGTCTCGGGGCCCGGGCGGCGCGGTGG